TGTCAGAAACTGAAAAAGTCGATTTTCCCAGCTATTTTGAATGATGGTGAAAAAGTAATTTATATGGAATATGCCGCGCGAATGAAGTACTTTGGAAAGTTTATGTTAATGGAAAAGTTGTTCAGAATAGCCGATTCTAACTAGAAAGATATTTTTTTTAAAAAGAAAAGTTTGAAAACCGTATTTTAAAGGAGGCTTTTAGAAGAATCGTTGGAAAACCTACTCATGGTTCAAAAACTTGCCATAGCAATATACTTTTTTTTTTCATGGATAGATAGTTCAGTGTCTTCTTCTAAATGGAAGCCAAGCAAGACCTTGATTTTCAGTGTTCGAGCGTAGCATCGGATTTCCTCAAAGTCCTAGAACTGCTATCTGTTAACTTTTAGGAACTGGAAAATCGACTGAAACATAAGTAATCGACCGTGCTGAGCTCCATGGTTGTTTTTTGGGGTGGGATGGGAGTGACTTCCCTTAAATAATTATTTAGAGAGAAAATTTGAGTTTATAAAGCATAAGATCAAGCTTATAATGGCATTTCTAAATCTGAGAATGAGTGAACAAGCAACCTGCGAAGAATAATGATCTGAACGACTAATAAAATTCTCTAGGAATGTTGTTTTCTTACTCATTCTCAGATTCAGAAATGCCATCTGAGCATTATAAACTTGGCCTTATGGTTCATAAACTCAAATTTTCTCTCTAAGTCATTACTTAATGAGAATTTATATTTCATTTCATATGCATGCATCTTTATCTTAATTTGCACTAGTGGGAGTTGAAACTTTAATTTTCATTTGCAGAATCTGAAATTCCACTGTAACACGTATTTGTCTACTGTCATCCTGACACTAAATATTTCTTGCATCTCTTGAAGTACTAGAAAAACGAAGATTGGAAGTTCTGTACTATCTAATCTCATGGTCGAAGTTTCTCAATATGGTAGAAGCAAAGTGTCTATATATAATACATGATCAAAACGATTAACAGTTTTGAGGAAGCACGATAGTTTTACCACTTTTAAAATGTTGAAAAACTAGTTTATGGGAGGATGAACGTGAACGTTCTAGGAAATAATAGCGCCTCTAGCTATTTGTTTTCAATAAAACATCAGTAGACAGAATGAACCAGTAATTATTATTACAAATTACCAGTAGCAAAAAGTATTTTATATAATGTTCTAAAGGTATAACATTCATTTTTTTCAAAACAGGTATATCTAAATACATTTTTTTCTTTTTATTATATTTAATTATCATAAATTGTTTATAAATAAAAATAGGTTTTTTTTTCATACCAAAAAAACTATTTCAGAAAAAGAAAATTTATTCATTTTTACTTCATAGAAGAAACATAACAAAATCATTCGTAAAAATTACAACTATGGTGCAATTGAACATTCCCTAGAATTCCCGTAATCGTAACTCAGCAACGAGTAAATGTTTAGTAACAAAAAATAAATGATCGATGGCTTGAAAAGTAGACTTTTCTAATGATGAATAAAAAGAAACATCACTGTTAAACTAACAGAAATGTACATATGATTAGAGATCCAAAAATCTAGTGCCTACATTTTCACCGTAGCACTACTTTAAATATAAGATTGTTCTTTTCTACTATGATCCATTGTTAGAAAAATCTCAAGGATCAGCAAGCACTGAAGGAAACGTGTCAAATTTCAAAATGCCATTCCTATCAGAGATGTGCACGGGGCGAAAATTTTCGACCTGATGAGGAGAGCTTTCTAACCATTTTTTAACCATCCAATTTTCTGGTCCGAGCCGACCACTCTTTGAAATATACTCATTCTTGAAGAATCGTATATTTCTCAGAAAACTTAACCGCTTGCTAGACGCATGATGTACTGTGAAGAGTTATAACTAAATCAGGCTTCTTCTTCTGGTATGTTATCCAAGAAAAATTTTTCGGTCCGGCTGCTCTAAAACATTTTTAAATCCGGCTCGTGCGAATCTCTAATTATTATTTCTTGAATACGAAGCTTTTTGAACATCTTTACTCTAACAAAGTTAGGAAAGTGAGCAGTTGATGATTTAAATAGTGGGGTAATAAAGTACAAAAAAGTATTTCAAAATATCAATGAAATAAATAAATAAATTATGATTAGTTAATCATGTTTATAGCAATTTTGTACTTCATTACCTCACTATCTTTACTCTACTTTAAACAACAGTTTTTGACAGAGCAATTACACTTTTTACAAAATTCAGATGAAAAACTTTCGAATAAGAGATTTTTAATCTTTTTCTGTTCATAAATAAACTGAACACTCAGTCCTCAATAACTTGTATTTAAAAAAAAGGCGTTCAGTCATTCTATAATATGGATGATCTACTGTGTCGTTCGAAACTTGAGTTTTAGATGCGGATTGTCAGTCAAAAAGTATACTGAAGATTTTTTTTCACAAGAAAACGACTGGGGATGTACTCTGAGGAGGTAAAATAAATTTGTTAATTTAAAATGTTTTTAGCTCGTCAGTTAGTAAGAGTTCCTTAATCTTTGCCTTTTAAATTAACGGGACCATAGGATTCTCACTTACGTACAGACTTCCCGATCAGGGAGGCTCCCTAAAAAATTTTTGGACTTTCAAGCAAAATCTTTGACCTTTTTTCGCAAGCAACTTTCTGTCAAAAATTTCGAAAACTTTTTTTCGCCAGCCACTTTCTGCGAAGCAAAATGTTTAGCCCCTCTCCTCCCTAAGAACAATCGAAAACCCTGCTTACTTAGTGGATTTTTAACGATTTAGCGGACGTCTAAGATTTGAGTGCCACACTTGAAGAGATTCAATAATGTTGAGGTTTCACTATTTCCATCTTCCTTTTCAGTATATCCTGATATCTGTAGTTTGTTTTATTCTATTCGATTGAAGTAAAAAATATTTTTATCCTATTTTTTTGTAAATGAGTGTCGTTTTATGTTGTTATTTGATGAGAAAGTTTAATAAAACATGAAAATAAACTCTTTGTTTGTTTAAAATAGAATTTGTTCTTATATTTGTTTGTTTTTGAAAATTGAGCTTTTTTCATATGGAGTTTGGATTACTAAACTATTTTCTAGCTCTTTATTTGTAAATAATAATCTCAAGCCGTTTACGTTCTAGATATAGCGCTTCGAATAAGATTTTAAAGTCTAATTAAGAGTTGTTTTTTGTCTATCTTTATGATCTAACTGATCGAGCAGCAAAAAATCAAAAAGTTTGATGAATATGATGATGAGCAATCACAAAGCTGATTCCATTTTGTTCATAAGATTTACCAAAGCTTCCCAGGTCGACCAAAACGGATATCCGTTACGGACCGTCTACTGGACGCAGGAATACGGACCGTAACATCATTAAAATAGGGCCGTATACGGTCGCATTTTCACAGTATACGATCCCGTATTACTGTGCCCAGAAACGGTACCGTTTACGGACCGTATATTGTGAAAATACGGCCGTATACGGCCCTATTTTAATGATGTTACGGTCCGTATTCCTGCGTCCAGTAGATCCTCCGTATATGGACCGTATCGTTCGACCTGGGTTAGTTCGCAATGATCGCTCTCTGGAGACGCCTATTACTTTCTTTCTCAAAATTTATTCTAAAGCCTCATGATATGAGCTGAAAAGTCACAGTGGTTATGAGCAGCGCTTGTGTTTGTTTTGGTTAAAGAGGAAAACCTTTCTAAAGTCTAGAAAGGGTTGTAGCCAATAAAAAGTTCTGTGGTGTAGAAATAACCACTTCTCTGTTTGTCCGAGTGTATGTCATTGAGTTTAGTTTCTCATTGTTCACTCTTCACTTTATCCGAAACAGTAAGTAAGCATATCCAGCTATTCTCGTGAAAGTATTTCACGCCGATCTTAGAGAGTTGTTTCTGTTGAGAGCATTTTACCTTTGATGTAGAGATGAACAAGTTAATAACTAAATGAATGTTTCAGTCGGTTTTCGAAAACCAACAACTGCATTCAGACGTTTGATGCAAACAAGAAACGTAGCACTGTTATCACAAAAATAAAGTAATTTTACACCTTTACCGTAACACGTGGTTGCAGAAAATGTCTAATAATGAAGCTTCTATATATCATGTAGTGGATTACAGAGATATAATAATAAGGTTGTTTCCCGCTAGCCGTCAATTTTTTTCCCGAGAATTCTTATAAGATTCTTTTCTGATTGGTGGAACCATTATCCAAATGATTTTAAAAGTTCTTCCTCCTTCGCTGATGAAAGCATTTCTGAAAAATTCAACTTTTTGGTGCCAAATGCTCTATACATTTATTATTTAGTTCATTAAAAGAAGAATACCATTTGTAGTCATACATTGTGAATCTGAGGAGCTAATACAAAGTTATATTCTGGCGTCATGTAATTCGAATTAATGGACTGTTGCTGATTGCGCGCGCTGAAAAAAGAAAGAAATAACCTCTTCTCCCTGTTAATACCTGGATTTGAAAAATTTGAGTACTATAGTTTTCTTTCATTACTTTTTCGTAAAAGAAACAACTGGAAAATATAAAATAGAGATTTATTTTCTTTTGTCCTTGTTGTGTGGATTGTTTGCGTCGAACAAGTTTGTCTTTTTTATTGTCTAAGAGAGCGATTTTGTACAAACGATCTTTCAACTTAGAAAATTCAACCGTTTAGTAAAACAGCTGTTTTATACAGATTTCATTTGTTGAAAACGCAGGCAAAATACAATGTAATAGTTGGATGCATTCAATCAATCGAAGGAATAAAACCCCTGGCAACTCTTTTTTTTGTGAATGAGTTTAAGTTATTATTTTGACCTTTTTGCTTTTTTTTGTACTAAATCTATAAATTTTTTTTATGTGTATGTTTTTTAGGGAATACCAATTAACAATGTCTTTTTTACCTTCATAAGATACCGACTACCTAACTATTACATTGGCAACAGTAGTCTTGCTATAGGCTATTCTCTCTTCTTGAATCATTCATATCTTTTTTTCTTCATTTTTTTGTTTATTTTCTTATAGATATTTTAATATGTTATCAGACTCATATGTAAGATATATGCAATAAAAGTGTCTTGATAAAGGAAAATAGTTTTCTGATTGTTAATCTCTGATTATTTATTATTAAAATCTTGTGCTTTTAGGAAGCCTGTCGTAGTCATAGTGCTCCTCACTTGCCCTATCAAAATCAAAATTATGTGCAATACAGTAAAATGTCATGCCGCTATACAATTGTAAGAACTATTTCTTGATTTTATGATCACCTTTTCATATATTAACGTTAATTTTTGAGAGTAACCTTCTCCATGTAAAACATATTTTTATTTGCCATTTAGGGAACATTGCTAGCACTTCGTCCAAGTCCAACTGAAACCATATTTCCTGATCATTTGGTTGACAAGCGTTTTTTAGAGTATATTACTTACTTTCATTGCTACTTTATGTTTACGTTTCACATTTCTTTTTTTTTTCTAGTGCTGATGGTTTTATTGATCTCGAAAAAATGTTTCTGGAAATGGGTGGTAATACATTGCAGTAGAAACTGAATTAGGATTAAGTTTATCTAATTTTCTATTTTACAGGCACATCTCGACATGAATCTGATGATAAATCGAATTCTCATGAACAACAACCAAATCTGTCCACTTCATCTCAATATTATGAAATGCGCGATGGGTCGGGAGATGGACGACGACAACAACCAAAAGTGTATGATCAATCAGATCCACAAATAATTCAAGTATGTTAGATATTATATGAACTGTGACAGTTTTAGTTTTTGAAAAAAATCTTATTTTTTAAGAAAGTATTTAATCGTCGTCCAAAAGAAATTCTTACACCCGACCAAATAGCTAATTTAACTTCGGTAACAATTGGAAATCGTCCAGCAACAATAGATCAAACTCAACAAAAACCTCCATGGGTCGATGATTATCGTCATCGCGATTTACGCGATCTTCCTGTGACGCCAATTTCATCACTTCCCTATCATCATAAAAATCCATATATTTCCGGAGAAGAACAATTTCAAACGCCAGCACAACCTCCATTATTCTGGATCAAAAATCACCAGTACAATAGACAGTTGCCTCCTCGTCATTGTTATCAAACACCACCAGATACCCTTCAACAACAATCACCAGTTTCGATTGTACAACGATTACATGATGCAGCGGCATTTCGACAACAACAGTGCGTTGTTTTCTGATAATCTGAAAAATAAAAGTTATTCATATTGCTGCATTTTTCTAGAAATAATCGTGATATCTATCATTCTTCTAGACTAAATGATCAGGTTTGTTTCATACGCGCGTGATTAAGTCGTTATTTACCTCGATTAGGCATGCATCGGTTATAACCGATAAATTTCATATTTTTCCCGAAACGGATTGCATGAAAAGTATGCATTTCCTCATTTTTCTAGCAACTAAATTTTGTAGAATAAACATTTTTCTACAAGGTAAACTATGGCGAAAGCCTTCGTGTTTTCTGTGTCTGCCGCAATCGCCTTTCGATGAAGAGTCCTAAATCGGTTATAACCGATCATGGAATTTTTAAGAAATCTTTTTTTGATAAGTACTAGAACCAAGACGAAACATACTTTCATAACTCATCTTATAGGAAAATGTTTGCTCTACAAAATCTAGTTAGAAAAATTTTAGAGAATCAATTTTTCACTGTGAAAACTTTTTTGCTAAAAAAACACACAGTTTCAATCGGTTATAATTGATGCATGACTAACCTTGATTGTTATTGAATACTTTATAGGCTCATCTACGTAGTCCATCCGTCTATTCTACTCCATTTTCGCCTGTTCTTCAACAGCAATTCTCACCACTCATTAATGATAAAGAATCTGCGAACACATTTAATTGGCCATTTATCGAACAATCAACACTCGTGGTTAGTTTACAATCTGCGTTTATCTCTTTTCAAACTCGTTGTTTTTTTTCATATAGAAGCCTTCTGTTGATTCAAATGTTTACCATCCTCATCGTTTTGGTAGTATAGGTTCGACAAATCCAATGCAAACAGCTTATAGAACACATTCAACTGTTAAGCAAAATCAGGTAAAACTTTTTCGCCGTATGTTCATTTCTTTTGATAATCTATTGTTTATTTTTATTTTTAGAAAATTTTAAGTGATTTGATTAATAATCATCAACAAGTACAACAATCATTTCCGACACCTCCAAGTCTGACCGCGGGCAATGGAAACGATGATGAAGATGACCAAAGTTTCTATTCAGCAATGCCATCACGTAAATTTAACAATGAAAAAAAGTTTTTTCTTGCAATCTTTTCAAATTTTAGGTCTTTTTTTAAACTAAAAATTTATTTTTCTTTTTTGTTCTGTAGCTACAACCGAATGTGATCAAGCATTGTCAAACGTATTAGATTCTGGTCATGATTTATACAATGATTGTCAACCAAATTCCGATCATATTCGTATATATCATCAAGCTGTTTTAGTTAATTCGTTATTAAGAAATGCATTGACCGATCAAAAATCAAATGATACCTCCTCTTCAATTGGAACACAAATACAAGAGGAATCACCATCACCACAAAAACAGCAACAAAAAAACCGGTATTATATATTTTTAATATATTTCTTGTTAATATTTATTTTTTTATTTATTTTTAGTGTACAAGATGTTCTTCGTACATCATCCGATGAATCATGTTTTTCGACAAATACAACTGACAGTCAAGTAAGTAAACTATTTTATAAAAGTTTAAAAAGTACATTTTGTTTTATCATTAATTTCCAGTTTTCAATGTCTAATCCAAAAGTTAGTGGAGGTAATGATATGAAAAAGTGTTATTGTTTCTATTTAATCTTTATTTAATCTGTTCTGTGGAAGGAGATGGACAATCTGTTGAGAATTATAATGAAATGTGTAATATTGTTCGATTCATGACACCAGGAGTCAAAGGTGAGATTATCCTACTAGCTGCAGAACAGAGTAAAATTCCACTTTGATTATTTAAGCAATGGCTTCACAGAATATGTTACAATATTTAAAACCACTACATTTATCGCAACGTCATGAAATGCTTGAACAAGTAACATCAATGTCACCTGCAGATCAGGTATACAGTGTGTAATGATAAAACATAATAATTTCTTTCTATTTTCTTTTTTATTTATGAAATAGTCTTCGTTTAAACGTATTTTACAAGATATGATACTTGAACAATTAGAGGTAATGAAAAGTCAACAACATCTTCAGCAAGGTGATCCATCACAACAGCAACGAGATCATTCAGTATCATCACAAATGTCAGCAGCAAACCAGTGTCATTCAATACCATCATTACATCCGGAGAGTGTATTTAGTGGTAAGAAAAAATATTATGATTATTTTTAGTTGATTACAAGCAAATGAAAAGATGGAACGACATGACCAATTTTAAGTAAAACAAATTACATTCTTTTCTTCCCTTACTGAGCGTATCAGAACAAACTATTCAACTCTTACTCTTGTGAAAAATACTGTAACGGAGTGTGCGTAAGTTTGTTGAGCGCTGCTTCTTCATGTTCTTCCTAATATTCTAGAAACTTGGCAAAATCTGAATTACACAGCGTGCATTAAACAAATTTCTATCTCATAAAACTTCTTTAAGAAAAAATCAAAAACGAAACATCACTAAAAGCGTTCTGGTTAAAATGTTACTAAAACATACCGAGAAAATCTTTTCACCGGTGTGGAACCAAATACATGGAAATACATGTTGATCAAAGTTCACTTCAAAATTTGAAAAATTATTTATAAACTTCCAGTAATTAATGTGAACTGGTTGATTTTCTACTAACAACGATTATTTCTCCATGAAAACTGAATAAAATCGAAACTTATTATATACCATACGAAGGATTTAAAATGTAATAATCCTTCATTCGTCAAACTTATCCATAGAACCTATTCGAAAACAGAGGATCGAGATTTTACATTTTAATCAGAACGCTTTTAGTGATATTTCGTTTTTGAATTTTTTCTTAATGAAGTTTTATGAGATAAAAATTTGTTTGATGCATATTGTGTGGTTCAGAGTTTGCCAAATCTCCAGAATATTAGGAGGAACATGAAGAAGCAGCACTCAACATATATTGCAAAACTTATGCACATCTCGTTAGCGGTATGCTATGTCGAAAAAGTGTCGTTTTTCAATAATACGTCTTAATAAAATTCGAGTTAGAAAACATTTGATTTAGGATCCTAATTAATGAAATACTAACGAGATTATATTGTGGTTTTTAGACCATTACGATCGACATGGTTCTCCATTAGATCGTTGGTTTGATCGTGATATTTATTCACGTAATTTACCACAAATGCCTATGCCTGCATCTGGTCAGCGTGTTTTTAGTGCAACAGATTTAGAACAAAGTCGACGTTCATCTCGTCTTAATCCAAATAATAATCAAATACCAACATCATTTTACCATCGAATCTAGTATATAGAAGAGCATATTCTTCTAGTTATGTGAGTATATGTTTTGACAGTTTAACTTTTGTTGAAAGTGTGTATGTTATGTTTCAGTTTTTTCATGTTTTTATATTTACTTTTATCATTTTTTCTTCTCTATATTATTCACTCAGCTAACTAAACCGGTTTGTCTTCTTTTTTTTTTGTGTTTGATCAGTGAGTTTTCTGAGACAAGTGATCTTGAGCGATCATCTGTTCCTTTTTCGTTCGTTTTGTTTCTTTTTGTTATTGTTTGTTTGTTTGTTTTTATTTCGAAGAAAACATGTTATACATCAGCAAGAAAGAGAATGTAAACAACATGAAAAAATCTTTTAGTACTTGTTTAACAATAGGATACCACCCACCTAACGTTTGGTTGATCGGTACTGCTAAGCGTTTATGAAACATCATGTATTGTAAAAATGAGTACTAAATTGAAAATTTTTATTTTTATCTTGCTAAAAGGTTGGTTGTTTAACAAATATTTCAAAGAGTTAAGTCGTTCTAGAATAAATTTAATTCAATAATGAAGAATTCGGTAGAGAAAAAACCTACGAGATTGAACATTGAATTTATGTGTAAGTAGGTCAAAATTGAATTCGAATTAAATGTCTTTTGTGCTACTCAATGCGGCACTTACACTCTTCTACTAATCAACTTTTCAACTCTTTATTATCAGCATAGAGGAAATAATTAAATTATAACTCTTATTTGAAAATAATTACTTTTGTTTAAAGTATAGAATGTTTGCTCAAAGATGAGAGATGGCTTAGTAATATAAACAGCATTATGCAATCATATCACGTAACAGATGAAAATGATTAAATTGTTTTAAATGTTGACCAATATATAATCGATTTCTTTTAATTCTGAAATAAAAGAAATGGTGTATTATCGAAACCACGTATATTTTCATGACATATATCATACAAAATAGTATTGATTACCAATCAGCACTATCTTTTCTTTTTTTGCATTATTTCTACGTGTTTATATTCTTTGTCTATTTGGATATATTTTCCTTCTATGATTAAGATATTGTCTCCCTGTTGACAGAAGTGCATTATAAAATGAATAGATTAGTAACTGATGAATATGTATAACTAGGATGTTACTGGTAAAATAATAGTTGGTGTTTTATCTTCCAAGGTTACTTATAATGCGATATATTTTTTCATAACAAATAAAGCGATATGTACAAAAAAAGTTCTTAGTTAACTTTTATTATGATCAGTATTATCATGTCCATTGTTCAGTATTTGATTATTGCCATTTTTTTACCTAAAACAGTAATTAGTTTAGTTCTATCCTCTCAAACACATTCTGGTATAGCTGACTTATATCCTGCCTATTCATTATCTTATGATATTGTTAAAGTAAAAGAATGGTCAAATAGTAGTGCATTCAATTACATTACTACCGTTCATATTGCCGATTATGATCATCATATTTTTCAATATCGTCCTTATCCATGTCAATTTTATTATACAGATGAAATTCAAATAAATCCAAATGAAACAACCGATTGTGTTTATAATACAACAACATTAGATTATGAATATTCATTAATCGTTCATCTTGATTCTCGACACATTGAAACACCGATTATACGAAATATTGCTATTAAATGTCCATTTATTAATTGTTCTCTATCATTGTTATCAATTAAATACATACACATCGATTGGAATAATCAAATTAAATTAGACCATAAAACACAATGTTCATTCGATAATACCACTCAATGGTATAAGATTATTGAACAACCGTATACGGTTAGTGAACCAATATTAATGAAATGTAAAACATCAGATTCGTGTAAACAATCAAAAACAATGCTTGAAGATATAAACAATTTTGAATTAAAATATAGTTCACCGCTAGTTTTAGATCAACCTTATTGTTCAATTGAGCAAAGTTTAAATACGGTTATAGCGTCAAATTTTAATGAAACACTTCGTCTTATAAACAAAATTATTCGTATTATGGAAAAAGGTTTTGGAAAAGTCGATGAAACAGAACAAGAAAAATTAGCAAAATATGTACGAAATAAACTTACTCATTATAATGATGAAATAATTAATCAACCTCAAACAACCACACCACACGAAATAGATACTTCGAAAAGTACCCACGAAACTTTATATTTTTTACCATATCCAGTGAAACCACCATATCCAGTGGAACCACCTCTAAATTAAACTAGATTCTAGATATGTGTAGCGTTATCCTATACTTCTGATAACTTTTGTTTTTATATGCAAACACATTTTGAAATGAAAAGTAACAACTCATTATCAACATATTTTTTCTCATTTTGATGATATTCTCGATATTTATGGGTCAACTGATATCACTACAAGAAAGAAAATATTAAAAAACTATCGCAATTATTTTTAAGTTTTCTATAATATTTAATTTTTATCAAAAGTAATAGATATAATAAAAACTTTCAAAATCAAAATCAAAACCTTGAAAATCGATTAACACATTTGTTTTCAATATTTTTATTTCTTGAATTTTATATAAAAATAGTCTGTCAGAATTAATCAGCGCTTACTTCAGTGTAATCATAACAGTGAGTAATATCGCATACATTGCTGATGTTGGCATCGTTGTTACAGATGACGAGGTTATCGGTGCTGTTATAGGCGTCGCTGTTATAGGCGTCGCTGTTACAGGCGTCGCTGTTATAGGTGGAGAGATGGATGTTGTTAATAAAATTTCTGGTCGGAAAAATAATGATGGATCTAACTGACTATTTTTTCGAATATGAGTTTTCAGTTCTTCCGTGATTGTTGGAAGATTACAATTTGTAATCGAACAATAGAGATCCATTTCATTTATTTCGACGTCTTTATCACCATCATTCAAATCATATGTACCAGTTATTTGAACATTTGTATTGACATTCTTTTCGCAAGATGACGTGAATGCATATTCACACGGATATTCTAAATCGTTCCAATGTTCATCAATGTGACATATACCAGAAGTACAATTAGTACTCTCACAATCTTCTTCCCAACTAACTGAATTGTTAACACATAGTGAACAGACATAACATTTCTGTACTGGTTCTGTTCCAAAGAAAAGATGATCGACTTCAGACGGAAGAGCACTGAAACTAAACGAGTTGGGTAATATATTTACTATGACAGGATTGTTACATAGATTCCAGTCGCACACGTAGGATATTTTTTCAACAGTTGATCCATGCCACATGCCAGGTTCAATTTGAATTGTTTCTACGGCCCGAATATAGTGCGAGTACTTGACATCACGAGCTCCAACGTGTCCCAAGTGAATATTTTCAGTACCAGGAATCTCAGCAAAATCTCGAAGGATTTCACAATAGCTTCCATTAACAACTTCAACAGCGTTACATTGAAGTATATTACATGTCGTTTCGTTAACTAGTTGCTGACAGTCACAATGGTAACATTGTAAATTTGTTATATTTAGGGGTAAGACTGAGATATTCGACGGACGAAATGTCATTATGTCGTTTATAGTCGTTGTAAATGACGTGTTGCCGCGGATTTGTTCGGCAATCCGTGGATTATTACAATTTGTTCTTCGACAATAAATATCGATTGTATTCACGCTCGATTGTGATTGATCACTAATATAATATGTACCGGTTACTTCCACACTTGAATCTAATACATCCGACACACAAGACGTTTCGAAAGCAAACTTGCAATCATCAGTGTTCACACTTGCATCATCAATATGATCTTCAATAAAACACGTACCAGTACATGACTCAGTACTACAGTTTAGATTATCCAGTGAATCAATACACTTTGAACACGAGTAGCATGTAGATAATGGTTCCGTATCTGGAGTGAGTAAATTTGTTAAAAAAGTTGAATCGATCTTGAAGTTGAGACTTGTTGGTAAAAAGGATATGATACGTGGATCATTGCACAAATTCCAGTCACAACCATAAGATATTTGTATCACACTTGCTGGTTGCCAATCTCCATTACGATGAACGATGGTTTCCGTTGCACGAATGTAATGTTCTGAAAACAATTCTTGTAATGCTGAATTTGGATTATGATCAACTTCAAGTTCATTTGATGATACTCTTATTTCACAGTAACTATTTTCAACATATTCAATTAAACATGTTGACAAATTACATGAACTTTGATTTTCTTGTATGAAACAATGACATTTGTAACATTGTAAGGCAAAAACAGATGTGAAACATGATAAAAGATAAATAAATGCGAAGAAAAGTGCACACTTAGTGAACATTGTTTGTGTGAAATGACACTCACTATACTTGCAATAGTTTGTTAAATGCAAAACAGACGATATTATGAAACATTTCATGATCATCATAAAATCATTTATACAAGCAGTAGATATCAAGCGTAATAAAATGAAAATACGTGTCGTACGACCACGCACTTTCTTTATGAGAAAAATTCTTTGTACGTATATAAACCAATATTTTACTTATTTATTGCAACTGAAAACTGACTTATGAAGGGTAGTACTTAAACTCTTAATTGAGATATTTTTTATATCGTTTATCAGAATGTGTCATCAGCAGATTTCATGAAGCGTTTATGAAAAGTCATCATAAATCTATGATAAGCTTTATACGGCATCTGAGTATTTGCGTTACTTTAGCAATTTTTTTTTACAATTACTTTAGCTCCGAAATTTTTTTCTCACAATTATCTCTAAGAGTACATATACATCTGTGCATAACACGTTTTTCACAACTTCTGCTTCGTTTTCTTTTCCCTAAAATCCATTAAATATATATACCACGACTATACTTTATAAAAGCTGCTCAAACAACGTTTCCGAAGTGAAAATTTGACTGAAGTCAATTGAAGAGCAAAGATTTTAAATTTTGCTAGATCCCGGAAAATTTATATGGTTCCGGTCTTCAAAGCAATTTTGCTCACACGGAAATATAATCACGCAACTGTCAAAAGAAATCTTAGTTCTTGTGTCGGTCCCGGTTCGGTTGTAAAGCTTTTCTGATACCAATCCCGGTTCGAGTTCCGTCAAACCGGGACAGTCCTTTTATATACAGTCTAGTACAAAAATATATAAAAGCGTTTGATTTGAAATGTTTCTTAAAGACAGTAAACATCTTTAAACAAATGGCACCAGAAAACTATCCCGCAACTGTTCTAAATTTAGCAAATATTCCACCCAAAAAGAAAGGTTACCTTCTTTTTCGTTTAATACGGGGCTTCGTAATGTGTAAGGACAGAGCACTGTTACGGGCAAATAACAAATTTTCTACGTGTTTCATAACAGTCAAAATGAACGCTTTTTTAATATTCCTGTGGCACTGCTAATTTTTCATTACGGACGATCACAGTCGAAAAAATAAATTCTACTCCGAGAGAGAAATTATCAAAAACTATATATTTTACATAAAAAGAAAGATTATTAACTACTCTTTCTGTTCAGTCTCTTGTACTCAAGACCGACATTTTAATATCATACGAAAGCCTTCGTCGTGCTGCATGTATATTGTGCTCGGAAACACCCAAACTGGGTAATGGAAATGATTAATCAAATATGTTTGGATGAAAAAATCGTGATCAAAGTAGCCGAACAGTTTTTCACTGCCATTTGTGTAAAGATGTTTACGATCTTTGAGAAACAATTCAAATCAGACGCTTTTATATATTTTTGTACAAAATACTTTGCTCTCTCTCTAACAAAAAACAAAGATAAAGTTTCTAGGATATTCCATCGCAAGGCTATATCAAAAATAAAATTAACACAGAACATTTTGCCCATCCATTATGTAAGTTTTACAAAAAAAGCTAAAAATTTGTATTATAAAACTACATAATGGATAAGTGTTTATAAAAACTGTATAATAATTGATTTATGCGGTTTGCATGAAAACTAAAAGTGATCTTTCTTCTTTAAAGTAATACACCATCTGTTAAACGCACTTGAGATTGTTGCTTATATTTGAAAGAATAGGTACGATTTACAAATACAAAATCCATTCGCACACCAGACAATGCATGGTATTGTACACGATTCTCATTTACGCATTAACATTACTATAGTTATGAATACAAAAGCAAGAATCAAAGCAACATCATCTAAAATCCACGTTTTCTCAATGTTTTCGATTTAGGTGTCTATTGAAAAATAATTTCGAATATTTAGATGCATTTATTTCCATCGATTCAAAATCGATGTGAGATAAAACACATCTAGATATAAAAATTTGTTATAACTAAGTAATTTTTTAAGTAAATTTTTAGTTTTCATTTTTTTTTCATTTATTTCTACATTTTATCCATTAAGTTATTCAAATACAAACTGTTCAAAATGCGTATTATAATTGAAATGCGTTTACTATCAACAAAGGTTCCAGCACGTGGATTAGTCAAAGTAAGTTATAGCAAATCGTTGTATTCAGTTCTGAAACATTCGCTGATACATACATTTTAACTTTGACTAGTACTAATGTTCTTTCTACATACACTGAGAATAAGACAGGCGCTTTAATCCATATAAATAATATTTTAGAGATCTTTTTAGATCCAAAAAATATATTTTAGTTTTCTATTCAATAATGTGTAACAAATCATATAAAATAAAAACGTGTATCAAAAATAAAAAAAATGTTAAGAGTGCATCTGAGAAAAGTGAAATACTGATATGGTAGTGAATACTTGTCGATATAGTTAAAGTACAGTTGGTACAAGATACGATGATGGCCCATTTACCATTCGGTGTCTATTCCAATAATTTACCGGTAAAATTTTTCCAACATCTGGTTCATTATCGTGATACCATGTGTAAAATGCATCATTTTTATTTGTCAAATTTTGTCGTCCTTGCTTAGGCATATCAAATGCTAACGGAGGCTCACGATCATATCGATTTAAGCCTGGTATGGTCACTGTGACATTTTCGGGCATACCATCTAAACAGGGTCGATCTGTTAATCTTCTGTTCGGATCAAGTAGACAATGATAGGATGTAGGCATTGGACGTAAAAGAGAATATTTGGTCGGATCAGTGATATGTTGTCGATGTAGATCAGGGCGACATATCAAACATGTACATATAAAATCTTGATTACCACGTTCAAACGGAGATCGAGCATAGGTATATTCACTATGCGTTGAACATTTCATGTAAGGTGTACAACCGCAGAACGTTTGATCTTGCATCGAATTTGTTAGTGATGGAAATAACATGCCTTGACGTTCAGCATTTACACGATTTGATTCCCAATCGAATAGACCACGATTTAAGAACGTTAAATGAGGCTCGTTTAGATCAACCATATTATTCTAAAACGACAGAGTCGACTAATTAAAAAAGTGAACTCGCAGTCTGGCACATACTCAAATAATAGTAAACTTATAAAAAAGACAGCTTACAGTACCATACGTTTAAGTGCTTAAAGCTCTTTTTTTTAAACGATCCTGTTTCTTTTCAAACTACAGCTGACATGACACACTGTTCTTTAAGTAGAAGCGTCTTTTACAATTTTACTCTCTTCAGAGCACATTTGACTCAATAAATATAGTAAAACAACATGTTTACAGAAATCTAATAACTATTTTGTTGAACAAAACTGTTGTAGTAATTAATGTTTACTTATTGTTTTATTTTTAAAAAACAACTGATCAACCATGTTTAAAATTTTCGTTTTTCGTTGCGTATCAGTTACCCAACAGAAGAATTAGTGAGTAAAGAATTTATAGTGCGTTCGTCAATCCCTGAACACTAATATAATAAATATATCTTAAATGAATATATCTATAAATATATCAACTCAGAAATTCTTTTCAATGAATATTGTGGGATTCAAACGACTAATGCAATCCAATTCTAATTGGTCGAGATTTTTATCCAGTTACTGGAAATCGAGAAACTTACATAGCATGATCATCAGTGGCCATTTTTAGCAGCTGTTATTGGCAGGTAACTTATGTTAGTATTCCATACTGGGAAAGATATTAGACAAATAATACTATACATACATCATACAACAACAAGTGTAGTATTATTTTTTGGGAAAAAAGACATAATCTAGTAACATTTGGATTGTTGAGTCATAGCCTGGATATGCAGACAGGAAAAAGTGGAAGTAGAAAGTAAAACTTGCTCTCTGTAAAGTAGAAAATAGAGTATACTTCAGGCTTCCACAGTAGAATGTCCAGTTCGCTCTCGCTTGTTCCGCCAAATACTACAAACACTTATTTCACTCTCTTTGATAAACAACATGAGCGAACGCACACTCTATGCTGAAGCACTATGACAACTAAACGTCATTGCCACGATAGGTCTGAGATAACGAATCAATCGTTTTCTTAGGACAAGTACGCTTAATGATATACACTAATCGTTTTCATTTAAAACGTTTCAGAATAAGGATGTGTTAACAGCTATTGCCATTTCTCAGAGTGATAATAATCATTTCGTATATACAAGCACATCTTAATAATAAATAAATTCGGCGCATAAATGATCTAAGTAACTAAAATAAGTATAACTGTTTTCTGAATTGAAAAATATTTGTCCGAGGGCTGAATCTTTTTTCCCCTAGCGGTGTGGACGTCTCATTCTTGTTATCAGGAGGTAAGACGTAAGAGATAGTAAAGATGAACGGGATGCTTTCTCGTTAAGTATTGAGAGAAGTTGTTCAAAAAGTTATAATGTACACAAAGAGTAAAGATGAGTGAAGGAAATTTGAAACTATTTTGAATTGAACTAGATACCTAAAACTGTGATTTTTGATTTCTTTCTCATTGCCTTTTTACATGCTTTTCAAGTTAAAAAATCGGAAAGCAGTTTTTACCATCCAAAAATATGTGCTGTTCTCCAGAATGTAATCGAATTTTAAAAATTACTTATGTTAACCAATATCATCTTGTAACCCATAAATATTGTCAATATCATTTGTAGACAGGATATATTTTTAAAAAAATGGGATGATCTAATGATACAGACCGGTAACTATCATTCAATATTTTTTTGTACTCGTAGCTATATTTGTAACGTACTACATATTGTGTGAGTGGATTATTTTGGTGTAGTTACGAAGAGATGTGTCTATTGTTAAATTCACGAACTTCACTAAAACGACATGTTCATATAAAACGGTTTTCTCCACTTTTATTCCATCTTTTTTCTTTTTCATCGTACCGTACTGGGCTGTCTTGCATAATTTACTAATTTTTCTTGTATTGTTTTATATATTTTCAGAATTAAAAAGAAAAATGTCTGCTTCTTCATTTTATTTCAAAATATTTGTTCGAAATCTACCATGGACCGTTTCTTCGCATGAACTTCGCACATATTTCTCACAATTTGGTTATGTTTCACGTGCCTCAGTTTTATACAATCCGGATACGGGTCTATCACGTGGTTTTGGTCACGTTGATTTTATTAAACGAGATGCATTCGATACCGTCATGTCACAACCCACACATATTCTTGAAGGACAACGTCTTAGAATCGAAGAAGGTCAACATGGAAATAAACAACAGCGTTACAAAGATAATCCATTACCATTAAACAGAACTATAACAGTCAAACAAAAAGTAACCGAGACAGCCGCGTCAACGAATGAGGAACAACAGACCTGAATTTTTTCGTTTGTTTGTTTTCCATAACGAAGAAATGTTTTGTTTTGTTCAATACAAGTTTTTCCCCTAGAGTATGTTTTTTTGACACGTCGTGTAAATAGTATTTAGTAACAACAGAAGTATTACAGACGAACAACACTAAGAGAATACGATCACTCGCTGGGCTAACCCACATTCGCTTGATTTAGCTACGGAAAAGTGAAAGTTGATATATTAAATTCATTATTCGTGAAATATGTTAGCACTTAAAGGTCATTTTCCTTTCATCTCAGCTCTGTATCAACTCTGTCTCGAATTTGGAATTGCAAACATTTTAATTTGAGTTGTCTTCAGATTTTCCTCATTTGTTCTGCTGGGAGAAAACGATAAATTTTTCGCACAATTCTATGATATAATTCTATACTTATCTACCTTTTCGAGCACCCGTATTTAGAGCAGAGACGCATTTTCATCTGTGATTCCCTTTTCCTTTCTTTCTGACACATCGACTTAACCCAGAATCCTAATCGATTTCCTTTACTGGGTGCTAGTGTTTCATCGTCCGAGTGATGTTACCATAATAATAAAAATGTTTATCTATAATAAAGAGTCGAAAATTTCTGTTCTTAAAATAAACATAAAATCTGTGATGAATTTCAATAATAAAATTTGAAAGAAAAAATTTACTGATAAATTCTAATTTTTTTGTATTTTTCAATGTTCGAATGTTTGTTATAATTCGTTGTTTGTATTAGAAATTTACACTTGAGAATGGTTCAATGAAGAATTTATAAGTACAATATTCATTGGAAACAATTACTATGACTAATGTATTTTATTTAGATCGCCATGTACCGTAGTTATTTAATATTTATTGCTGGAATTACTCTTGCATTATCTTGTCACATATTTGAAGATTATTTCACTTTTCGAAAGAAAAAAGTGTCTTGTGTTTTTCTTGTGTACGGCAGTTCTTATTTCTTAAATGTGAACAGCAGATAAGATAGGTTTTCCGTACCTAATAGAATTGTTTTTTTTCTCCACCAAAAACATGTCAGAGGGTTGGGTTACTAGGAACAGTTCTACGACTTAGTCTCTCGAAATTTTCTTGAAAGATTTTTGCTCCTTCAACGGATTTCTGGAAAAAAACTCTCACATTTTTGTGACAATATATGGATTATATGAGAATTTTGTACTGATCATAAATGTCGTCTTTTAAATTTTTTCTCTACGATCTTTCAGAATATGTCCTCAAAAATTCTAGAACGAATATTGAACTCGTCGAAAAATTCGAAATACCGCTCGAGACATGCAAAATTTCTGGATTTTGACTATTAGATGCCTTTGCTACTGTGATCCCGGGATCAATCCATAACACTTAAGGACTTTATCAGATATGTAGCGTTTTATCGACTGTAAGTGTCAAAGCAAGTGAAAAGAATATGCTAATCAAGACAGAAAATTACTCGATTTCTACTGGTTTTCACGGTAGTATCTCGAACTTTTCAATAAAAATCTCATCTCGCCTCGTCAACAGCAGCGTCAAGTTTCAAGAACCTTTGGAGATTTACCGAACTCTGAGAATTCAGTCTATTCAAGCAATGGTATTGTTTAGAAATTGGGCGAGATTTGCCAGAATTCTATATTCCAACAACTCGTTGTAATACACCAACTCTGCCAAAATTGAACCAGAATCTGCCAATTCGTAAGAAGAATACAAAAATAATACAATTTCAACACAAAAAACTTCATTCTGCGAATTGACAGATTCTTGTTCGATTCTGCCAGAATTGGTACACGGTGCAAGTGATGAAGAAAGGTGCAGTGTGAGAGTAAGAAGCGACTATATACACATGAAAAAAATTTAGTAAGATATGGTTAGTTGGAAAACGGAAAGAAAACGTCATGGGACTGAAAAAAATTCGCTGACTAGATGAAAATTTGTACTACGAAGGTCCACTCACCAAAATTTTCACCCTCACTGTTTTCTGCAGTACAAGTAAAATATGAAACAAAATTAAATTTACATATTTCAAATTAACCAAAAATGAAAGACTCTAGTGCACAGAAAATTCATTCTTGTCAAAGAGAAACAAACTACAAGTTGAATTACAAGGTTATAATCAACAAATTGTATTAATACAGCTGTTTATTTTCTCGAAATTACGAAAACCGTTTTTAAGAAAAAGCGAAAAATAATGACTGCACTAAGCGTTGTGAAGGAAATCATCGCTATATTACACGTCACAAAAGTATAATTCATTTTGTTTTCCAATAATTACGCGTGTCGACCACATTCATCAATACCATTTATTCTATATTCCACTTGTGTGATTTGTTTCAATTAAACTTCCTTGATTGGTATATTATCAAATTTATCATTTAAACTGTTTCCCAGTACTACATGTTTTATACAGCCACATTAGATAAATGTTATCTTCCAGCCACACTTGCCTTATCAATATTAATTTATCAGCACTAATTTCTAATCATATTATATAATGATGTGCGAACTAAAAACACGATTGTTCATTTGCACCTAAACCTGATAACCATTCGGTATTTTTATTAGATAAACGCTCCTAACGACGTTCAGCGCTTTTACGATTAATAGTTCTTAGTAAGAATGGATAATTCCAACTTTCAATACAAATGTCAGATACATGATAGATAATCAATAAATTATCGTTAAAACAAGCAATAGTATTATACGGATGGTTTTTATGACGACGAATATGAGAAATGAGAATAAATTGATTTGATTGTGGATCGAACGAGTACATTTGATTTGGAAATAACACAAAATACACATTTTTAGGTTTTCATTACAACAACAAAAATATACGATTAGCTACAATCGCGATAAATAAATTCGACATTTCTTGTCAAAACCGTAGAAGAATGAGCTTTTATTCTAGACGTGAAAAGCTACTAAGATTTAGGTTTTTAGAATACACACATCACGCCACCCACAGACTTTGCTTTCAAATAAGAAGTGGTTCCAGTATCATACTACATGTTCCATACATCATTCAATAGACCATGCCATCCGACAGCGCATAACATGACCATTATACACATACTTAATACAAGTAACGTTGAGAGACTAATTGTTTGATGATACCACGACAATCAACGTTAGAAACGAACGTTAGAACACGAAAAATTTCACCATGTTTTAATGGCATTTCAACTGAAAAAACAACGTGCATTCTCCACATTTATCCTAGATGTAAGAAGAACTACACGCCATTTTGGTGTGTATGTGTTGATTCTACTTAGTTTTTGTTGCTCTTTCCAATAGTGTTGTCAGCGGCTTGTCCAGCTAACGGCCTCCATTTTTTGCTCTTTTTCGAAAAGTTATTGCAATAAAGCTACAAACTAATCTAAAATGGCAACTAGATGATTAAGTAGATTAAACATTTCTCTACAAAATGAAAAGTTGTCTCGGCTCTGAATGTTGATTCGTTATGAAAATAGAACTGTTGTACAAACTTGATTTTTGGCCTATCTGAAAAGCGTGTCTAAAAGAGTGAAGACGAGCTGGTAAACATTGAACAAGTATACCAGTTTGTAGAAAATTGTTCGCTCTACAAGGTGTGATAACTTGTCAAGTTCGGAATTATTCTACAATCGATTACAAAAAACACATTTTTAAAAGTTTTATTTTTCTCTAAGAGGAAAGTAGGCTAACAGAATTTCAACTACATGCGATTGTCATGTATGGATGATAATTATCTGAACTTAACACGATCAATCACGTTTTCAACATCATTAATAATAACTTCCTTTATTGTAAGCGTTAACCAATGTTATGCAACGAATATTATAATCTTAATATTGGATATTCGGATCAATTAATAAAAGTCAAGTGGGATGAACATATGCCATTGATAATGATAACTGTTAGTTGATTAGAGGAGGGATCAGGTTAACATTATGAGTTTGAGTATATTAGTCTTAGTTCTTTTCATGATACTTCCAAGAAAGTATCATGAATCAGAGGAGTTATCAACGCTGTTCGTTTACTCTCGATTTCTCTTTTTGCTCGGTATAAATGGTGAGACATTTCACAATAGTATTCTGCGTCCTTTGAGACCTCAAATAAATGCATTAACAAATAGAGAAGAAGTTTTCACAGAAGGTTAAGGTGATAAGAACATTTTTCTATATCGTTTTGTAGAATATAACATATTTATGGTTGAAATGAACTAGGAGCAAAACAATACACTCATCGTAATTTGCATCGCTTTTTACATTGGTTGTAGTATTCCGTTCTGTTCAGGAAGGTTGATAATACTGTATCTGAAGAGAAACAAAATGAATACAGTATTGGTTGTAGTAATTTGCTCCTAGTTTAGTAGGTAGTAGCCAGTATGCAGGCTTGTGTCAAGCTGAGCTAGTCATCTAAGTCTACAACGAAAACAGCATATGCTTCAAGTTGAGATTCGGAAAGGAGTAAAAATGGCTTCCAATGCATTTATATTTGATTTGAATTTTATAGGCTTCCTTTTATATATTCCTTTTATATAGGCTTTCTTTCGAGACATAGGTCTCCAAGTGTGTATAAAAGGTAATGCTGACTGAAGCTCCACGGAATCACTTGTATATGAAAAACAATTAGTAATGCGCCCTCTATGTAGATTCAAATTTTTTTATAGATGAGCGCTTAGCTACTCCGTAATTTTTGTGTCAATGCATTGTTGTTGTTCTTCTAGACTGCGTCAAGAACCGTTTCCTTACTTAAAATTATACGAAGTCTGAAAGCGGATGGTACAAACTATTCATTTATGCACAAGATCAAGAAATGAGTTGTTAAGGGCTTCTTAACTTCAATGTGAAATTTTTTTTCCTGCGACTTTCGCGCCTAAGGTAACCAAGGAAAAGGTTTAAGTTTATTTACTAAAATTACAAAACAATGAATTAGAAACGGAATCAATGATTTCTACTTGATCTCATATCGAAAAATCTTGGCAAGTTTTTAGCCTATAGAGTTAGATATCTTCTTTTTTGATTAATATTGATGATTGTTTTCTAACAGCATTGTATAAATGAAATGCGGCTAATGTAGCACAAAACTGAAGTGTTAGAATGCCTGTAAAAATACCAGTAAAAATAAAAAAATTATTTCCATTTTTATCATCTAACATCGAGCCAAAACCAAATTTTCCCATAATCGCTAATTGACCACTTGTTGAATAGAGAATAATATAGGTAAGAAACATGACGATCGTTATTAGGGTAAATAAACTAATAGACACGATACTCATCAGAAGCACCATTGATCGACCTTCCATTTGGTCGTACCATAAAGCACATACAACTAAACCAATAAATATACCCGTATATACGTCAAATATAATTTGAATAACGGTTGTTTTATCATCACAGAATATCAGTAGCACACCAATAAGAACTCCTATATAGTACGTAGTTAAAAATAGACGTGTAGGCAGTTGAGACTTATCGTTAAAACACACCATCGTGGTTGATCTGAAAGATACAGACACGAGAAACCCGATCAATCAGCATCCGACATAAAATTTCCTGTATGTAACTTTTGAGCGATTATCTTTTAAATATACAAGCAAGACTAAAACTCAATGAAATCAAATTAGAAAATTCTATTTATCACCTATTAAGCATCAGTTTATGCAGCAGTATATTTAAGTTTGGATCTAGAAAAGTTCGAAGAACAACACATACACTTCACGCCACCAGTTATATAAAACCTCGGTATTTTGTTCTTCCTTACTCGGTCATTTTAGTATAAAATAAAAGATTGCTGTGTATATGAGTATAGATGAAAAAAAGTCCTAACTTTTATCATTATCACACTTACACTGAATACTTGTCACTTCTTTTTTTGTTTGAATAAAAAAAGATACGTCTATCTCCTCTCCCACTTTTTCGTACGAAGAATCTCGGACGTTATTTTATCTGCTTATAGATATGCACGGTATATTGAAGACATGAAATATACAATAGTAAGCTGTTGTAATTATTTTGTGTAATTGTTAACTTGCACCACTAACGGCTGGTTAATCACTCGACGGTGCGACACACGGTTTCAGGAATAAAGTTGAAAACAATACACTAGTACAACTACTATGTACTTTGAGTTAATAAAACGGATACTCTTGGCGACATGCTGTAATTTGAGGATTATACCTGTTAGCAATATCAGTAATAGAAGGAACCAGATAGTGGTGTCGATAAAGCAGCCAGCCAACACGAATAATTGTTAGTAGGTTAACCCCTACTTATGAATGAGCCACTGGGACATTGCCCAAGAGCATCAAAGGATCAGTCTGCATAAGACTTGAAATCAGCCCACCGCATTTTATTGCTTCAATGCGTTCAAAACTCATTGAAAGCATCTTATTCGATTATTTCGACCCTTCGATTGGACATATCCGACGAAATCTAAATCCTTTGTGAATTAAATACTAAATTTTTCCATAGGTCTCAGCTATGACACTACAGCTAACCGGTATCCGTTTTCCCTGGAGCCCAGGACTCGTATCCGATGACTTCAAATAGCCTTGAGATCTGATGTACAATATTCAGGGCAGTCATAGGTAATCGAAAACGGTGAACCATTCATCAATGTTTGTTTTTGCAAACAAATGCAAAAGCCTGTGAAAACCGAGCATTTATGAAAACTGTGCTTTCCAGGTTGTTTTCACGTAATACTACGCCCATAACGCCTAGTTTCTCGTGGTTTTAAACTCAACCACAGTCCACTCACTTTTTATGCGAAAAAAATATTCTGTTTTTTTAAACAACCTGAAAACCACAGTTTTCATAAAACTCACTTTTCACAGGTTTTTGCATTTGTTTTTAAAAACAAATATTGCTGAAAGGTTCAGCGTTTTCGATTACCTATGACTGCCCTGAATATTGTGCATCCGACTGTACATCCGAAAACGGTGTGTAGTTCTTCTTACACCTAGGATAAATGTGGAGAATACCCTAGAGAATGTACTTGTGCCCAAGTACTCCGTTTGCCTAATGAAGCCGGTACTTGTCTTTTTTTCAGAAATAAATTTACTTGTAAGTACTTGACTTTTCATTTGACAAGCACTTGTTCAAGCGCGTAAAATTGCAAGTACTTGGATTGTTTTCAAGGTAATACTATCGAGTGTTTCTCTATTGTCGCCTAGTATTCAGTTTGTGAACTTATCTTATTCTGTGTCTGAAGTCAACAAGGAAAACATGTTTTCCTAAGCATAGGTATAGTATTCATGTGAACAGATAGTGGCGAGCGGTCCTAACCTGTCTTATCCAAGCAACTGCTGATTTTAACCCTATTTTTAGTTAAAAAAAGAGTGTTTATAAGTAGTAAATAAGCAAAACTGACATCTAAGACACAAAGAGCTTGTAAAAAAAGAGTAAGATACAGTTTAACAAATTAAAACAAGATATAAAACAATAAAATAAATTTCCATAATAATATTATATGTGCATGGAAAATGTTGGAATGTCAAAAGTTTTTCTTTTTCACTCTTTCTGTATATAGATATCGCTACAAAAGAGTTCACAGGCGTTAAGATAAATTGTTTGTTGGATTTCAAAATATACAATGTTCGATTAACTCTTTTTAATAAATCCTTTTGATTTTTTGCTCAAACTGGGAATCCTTTGCTACTTGAAAAACCAAAAACGATGTTTCCCTAAACCAAATGCGTTAGGAAAAAACCCTTCTGATTTTTACCAAAGCTAGAAAATCCTTCGATTCTTTCTAAAAAGCACTTTAGTTTTTTGGTGAGGGGGTGCGTACCCCTCTCCCCAAATTTAAAAGAACAGTAACAAGGTAATTACTGAGTAACTATGCAAAAAACAGAGTTTACACTACCTCGAACGTGAAATTTAAAATAAAGTTTACACTATCTCGGACAAAAAACTTTCGTTACAGCCCCCCCCCTCCCAATGTCCGGCACCTACTCAGGTCCCTGCCCATACCCCCACGCCAGCAAGCTAACACGGGCAAGCTAAATGTAAACGTACCCACCCGAGGCATGGGTTTCATACAGCCCCACCGTAGTTCTTCCCGTTTGAATGGAGGAGTTACGCTTTAGACCCAGGATCTGCGCTGATAAGCTTTTTTCAGTTGAAATGCCATTAAAACATGGTGAAATTTTTCGTGTTCTAACGTTCGTTTCTAACGTTGATTGTCGTGGTATCATCAAACAATTAGTCTCTCAACGTTACTTGTATTAAGTATGTGTATAATGGTCATGTTATGCGCTGTCGGATGGCATGGTCTATTGAATGATGTATGGAACATGTAGTATGATACTGGAACCACTTCTTATTTGAAAGCAAAGTCTGTGGGTGGCGTGATGTGTGTATTCTAAAAACCTAAATCTTAGTAGCCTTTCATGTCTAGAATAAAAGCTCATTCCTCTACGGTTTTGACAAGAAATGTCGAATTTATCACGATTGTAGCTAATCTTATATTTTGTTGTTGTAATAAAAACCTAAGAATATGGGCGTGAGAAAATTTTGATACTGTCGCGTTAAGATAGTATCACTAGTTTGAACGCAGTTCCGGCAAAATTTAATAGCGATTTCCGCACGATTTGAATAAGACAGCACCAGATTTCTGGTGCCAAACGCTTTTGCTAAGATGAAGTTTCTCAAAACAAATGTAAAAGGGAAGTTTTGTCTTGAATTGCGAAATTTGCTTTATATTAAGAAGGAAATATTTCTCTTAAATTAGCATTTTCGTTTTTTCTCAAACAAAAACGCAGGCAATTTTTCTTTAAATCTTCTATTTTTTAATAGACTTAACGTTTGTTTCAGAACTTATAAATGTCCCTGTACACAAATGACTCAGGTTAATTATCGTTTTTTAGAAAAAAAGTTACGAGTCCCAGACGTTCAAATCACGTACTTTCAAACGTCCTAACTGTCCACTGGAACATCTGCAAAGACTGAAAATAGCTTATTTATTAATTCAGACGTATGAGTACGGTTCCCTATGCACGTTTAAAATTTTACTATACCCTTCTAGTTCACGAGAAACTCGTTACAGAAAATGACACTTTTTCGATCTAGAAAGAAACAGTTTATTACTATAATGCAGTATTGCTTCGCACCGCATTAAAAAGAATATCGTTTCAACATAAGCTTCACACAAGTACAATTTGAAAATGTGGAATATATGCAGATATTATAAATAAAACCAGTTTTCCAGAAACCGGTTAGGAAAAGCCTACGGGCAAAAACGACTATCATATTCGGAATCAGCATGGACAATTACCGACAAACCACCGCATTTCGTTAGAAAAGCGGTCGGACACCTGGAAAGGTTCCCTGGATAGTTATTGTTATTTTTTCTTGATCTGTTGCTCTTGTTTATTATTGATGCTTAGACACGAATATTTATGTATGTTTTTGTTGTGTCTAAGCATTTACGCCATATTTTAATAAATGTACAATATTTCAACCTATAGTAGGCAGACGAACGAATAGTGAGTCAAATTTGGAAATTTGACAAATATTCATGAGTGTACGCCCGTGTAAAGAATTCTTCTTTCTTTGGAATAATGTGTAGTATAAACTCGCGCCTGTGAGTTTGTATGTTATCTAATTGATAGTGTATTATCGATTCAGCCACACTATCTTACATTACGCTTTTACGTCTGATGCGGCGGCGTCAGATCCCAATCTGATCTGACTTAGTTATTTTTGTTTTTCCTCGATCTGTTGCTCTTGTCTATTATTGGTGCTTAGACACGAATATTTATGTATGTTTTAGTTGTGTCTAAGCATTTACGCCAATAGCATGAAACTGATTTTCTCTTAACACCATATGATGCATTGAACGTGAAAAAAACTCATATAATCTTTATAAGATGTACGGATATTTCAATGGTTTTGTCTGTAGAGAAATGTAAGCGATATTTATCATTCTATTAATAAGAATACATAAAGAAAGTTTGTTTACGTTAACGAATGAAAAGCAGTTCAGGAAATAATCCTGTACACAAAAGATAAATGCGTAGATATCCAGTCAACAGGCACTAAATCCAAGAACAGCTTTAAATTAGTGGAAATACGACGAAAATTTTCAGAAACGTTTCTTTTTATCCCTAGCTACTACGTAGATAAGTTTGAAATAAGCAATACACATGATTTTCAAAAGGATTTTTAAATCTCTGAAAAGAATGACTTTTAAAAGATCAGTGCTTTCAAAAAGAATTTACAACTTTTCATCAACAAATTATATAGAACTACACTGTAAAAAAACAAGTATTCTGGCGCACTTGTTTTTTTACAGTGTGTTGAACTGACTCTGCTCAAAATTATACAAATTATCTCTAGACAGTCTTCAGTTCATGTGTAATTAGCTTGCTCTTAAAAGTACCAAAAATACCATATTTAATCATCAATCAATTATCTCCTCAACGATTATAGCCCTCGTATTGCAGAGTAAGGTATTATTTTCTTGTGAACACTTTCATCCATCCTAATAATTCTCAGAAATATGAAGTAGTTTTGAATGAAAGAAAGATATTTTGTTTAACTGAATCACGTTTAGCGAAAATATTCTGACGCTTAATCTAAATACGCTAACCTTATTCTCGATATTATTTACTTATTATCATCTTATTGGCGTTGTGACCGCTTTCTTTTTTGTTCTTTCCTATGTAAACAATCAAAATGTGAGGAAGAAATTTTTCTTTTGTTTATAGTTCTGAGTTTGTTTTTATTATTTTCCAAAAACTTGAACTGAATTGTTCATTTCTGGTGCATAAGACAGTTTACTTTAATAAAAAGAAAAAACGAAGTGTTTTTTACTTTCTGCAAGTCTTATCTCTGAATGGTACACTTACGTTCTCTTTCGTTACGGCACATTTTTTGTTTTGAATTTTTTTGAAAAACAAGGTGAACCACAATGAAGTCATAATAAAGATTGAAAATAAAATGAACTTGAACAAATACTCTTCTTGACCATGCCTCAAACTAAACAATGCCAACTATTCATGTTTTCAAATCTCTACACCAAATGTTCACAATTAAATTAAATTTTATTAAATTTAAAACACTTGTTGAGCATCATCAAATATCTTTTTTAAATTGATGTCGATCTTCGTTTCTTAGTCGATCTCTCTCGACATCTATCTCCTCCTCATTTTCATCATCTGTTGTCTTATCGAAATGGTTATTGTATTGAAGGCCACATTTTCGTTGACATAAATTATATTCATACGCACGTTTATTTATATGATAAATACGTTTACGTGCTTCATAGAGCATATTTAGATCTGTAGGATTTTTACGTGGACGTCTCACAGAACGCATAGCGATTAAATCAGCGTATGTCTGCTGTTGTAACGTTTCGGATGTTATTACTAACGGTTCTGTACCTTCAGGAGAGGTATTTGTTTGATTGTTCAGTTCTGGTGTTGATACTTGTACACCACCTACCATTACTGAAGGTGTATTCGATGCATTTTTTATTGTTTCTCGTCGAATTTCACCCATTGTTTTTGAACGATGAATTGTCGGCAACGTTTTTATTCTGCGTGGTGTAGCTGACTGAGCATGAATTTTACTCCATGTTTCAGCTATTTTCAAATCGGTCATCGATGGACTTTCAACTTCTTTTTTAAATGCTACTTCATCATCCTCTGTTATAATTGTCGGTAAAACGGCTGCTGATTGAGTTACACGTGGTTTAACAGTACTAGTATGAGGATGTTCTCTCAAAAATTGTTGAAATTTTTCATCAACATCATGTCGTCGTTTTTCTTCAATAGGTGGAATAACAAGACCCTGAGAACCACCACTTATAAGATTTTCTAAATTTTTTGCTTGATATTCATAGTAAGCATCTCGAGCACCAAATCGTTTACGTTCATAGTCGACTAAATTTTTTTTTAATTGTCGAACATAGGATTCTTTTTTCCATGTATAAAGTAATTCACGATTTAATTTTGTTTTAACATCATATATTTGCATTTCTTTAATCAATTTAACATAGTAAGATTTTTGACGCTCACTTAGTTTACCCTGAATAATTTTATTTTTTTGAAACGCTTGTAATAAATTTGTTTGTAATACAACATCTTCTAGCTGATGTCTCATTTTAATTTTTTTGTATTTTTAGCTAATCCAATAAATAAAACAAAATTTAGTATTACTTGTTAGATATTTGTTTCGTTTACAAACCTCATGATCACTCATTTGACTGTTTTATAGTTTAGAATCAATATATTAAAAATAAAGATTACCTTTAATCGTCGAATTTCTATATTCTGGTACAATTTTGTTTATTACTGATTACTAATTACACTGTACACGACAATGTTTTGTTATAAGAATGATTTTGTGTGTTAGTGATCAAAATGTTTCGTTTTTTTTGCTTTTCAAGGTGGACGAAAATAACTTTAATGGTATTAAGAATTATAATGTAGTAGAGAGAGAGAGAGAGAGAGAGAGAGACAGCGCATATTTTCGTTTTTTTTCCCACATATACTCTATTCGATTTGTTATTGATTTTTAGATGTTTTGAAAAAAGTAGCAATAGGTTGTTGTTAGAAAATGGGAAAACTCAATCGAGTCAAATTTTGATCAAAATAGTCCATTCAATGACAGTAGTTAGAAGTGAACTTTGTTTTCAAAATTGTTTTACCTTGTGAAAATGAAAACATTTTAAATATGTTAGTCAAATTCACGAAATGAAGTAGCTTTTAATTTTAATACACATATATGTATATGTTAGTGTACAAACTCCGATCAAGACGAATGTCAAATTGGTCTAGGCCAAATTCTAATTGATGTGCGAACTACTCGAAACTCCGATATTAGTTTGACCTGTAATTTTAGTAGTCCAAATTACGATCGAAGTTTCAACTAGTCCAATGTTGGTCGAACACTGACAAGTTTATCTAATACACCACAAAGTATTGATGAAATTTTGAATCGTGCTAAATCATCAAAAGATTCTTTATTCTTTAATACAACCACTAATGTTATTGAACAGCTGGGTTTTGATAAATCTAGTGGAGAAAATCTTGCCTGTCAAAATTCACAATATATGTTTATTAAAGATAGAGCTTATTAAGATATGTTTAACCAACAAATAACACATCATACTCGGCATATTGAGTAGTTATTAGAAAATGGTGCCATTAGTGATTTTGTTGGTGTTACGGTAAATAAAGTAGACAACTAATACTTAGCCCAAACTATTACCGTGTATTATCATTCATAGAAATCATTAACGGTAAAGCGGCATGTATAAATGGAGTAATCAGTCAATGATGGCCTGTCGAAGTTTTAATAACTGATCTATTTTTTGGATAGTTATAGATGTTCTCTTATGTTCATTTCTCAAATATTTCTATAATTAACTTATATTCAACTTAATCTCAGTCTGACCTAGTCAAAACCTCGATTATAGTTTGGACTACTATTATTACAGATCAAACTAGGACCGGTTATTGATATTTGAGCTTGTTGAAATTACATTTTCACAATTGACTTTTAATCTTTAATATTGCTCAAGCATACCATAATCCAACAGACAAATGTAATTTAAAAATACCTGAGTATACATGACAATAAGGGTTGAAAGAATACAATCTATGCATTAAATATCTGACCAATGAAACACATATACGAACTACAACGATAAGTAACTACAACGATTATTCAAAATAATCAAAACGAATACGATTAGTGTGTTTTTTCGTTGATCATTTTTTCGCTAAAATTCCAACATTCTTCGGCTAATGTTTTATTATAAACGATGGGACTTGCTTCAGCTTGTTTACAGTCAGCATAAAACTCACCGGGTTTCACATCCTTCGATAAACAACAATATAAACTTGTCAACGCACCTTCATATGGCGACTTTCCAATCAAATAGTATAACAGTCGAATGAATACGAGAATGAAGGGTGGCATTTCTCGTGTTAATGATGTCATAATTGCACCAGGATGGACAGAATATGCACTGATACCTCGGCATCCAAACCGCTCTTGCAGCTCGCATGCATGCCATATTTGAGCCAATTTCGACTGTGCATACGCATGTATTGGACGATAAGGCGAACATTGAAACTCATAGTCGATACCTCGATCATCCACAACACAATGCATCATACTGCTAACATTGATGACACGTGCTTCCGAGCGTATTAACAGCGGCAAAAGAAGCTTTGTTAGATAGAAGTGGCCCATATGATTCGTACCAAACTGACTTTCAAATCCATCGGCAGTTAACAAATGACTTTTCTGCATTGTACCAGCATTATTCAACAAAATATCAATACGTTCTTCATGTGACAGAATTTCATCAGCAAATGCTTTTACAACAGATAAATCAGATAAATCAAGATTGTAACCGATCACTTTCTCGTCACTGACATTTGCTTCATGTCGAATTGATTCAGCTGTTGTTTCCGATCGACTTTTACCACGTATACCAACAATCACTTTCGCTCCTAATTTAGCTAGTTCAATCGCTGATACGCGACCGATACCAGACGCTGCACCAGTGATGATAATCGTTTTACCTGTTAAATGGATATTTTCGGGAATATAGCAATGACCACGTGCCAGTTTTCTGCAAATGAATGTCACCATAAAAAAGTAAATAATAAGAGTAGAAAGTGAAAATGGTTGAATGAAACAAACAGAGACAAATAAAATGGCAATGTTTGTGAATAAAAATAGCAGTGATTTTGTTTCAGGTTGTGTTAACAAAGGTTTCCAAAACATGATCAGACAATAAATAAATCTATAT